TGGGTAGTAATTGGCTTAGAATCATCAGACTTTGTTAGTTGATGCATCTTGGGTCTTCAGAGTAGGTCAACATACATGTAGGTCACTCTTACCTACTTTTGAAAATTTATGGCTTTAATTTAATATTTCAGGTACTAAAAACCATCAAACTTTGTCAACTAATACATCTTGGGTCTGCAGATTTAGTGGACTGAAAAGGAGGTCTTTGATTCCTATTTTTGAAATTTTATGGCTGTATTTAATATTTTTGGGTACTTACTGGCTTAGAATGAAACTAACAACTTGGCAGTTGATGCATCTTGGGTCCTCAAAGTATGTCATCTGAAAAGTTGGTCACTGTGACCTACTTTTGAAATTTTATGGTTATAATTTAAAAATATTTTAGGTATTAATTGACTTAGAATCATCAAACTTAGTTGATGCATCTTGGGTCCTCAGAGAATGACAAGTGATAAGTAGGTCACCATGACCAAATCTCAGGTACTAATTGGCTTAGAATCATCTTGGGTTCTCAGTGTGTTTCATCTAAAATGTAGGTCATGATGACCTACCTTTAGAATTTCAAGGGTTTATCTAAATATACAGGATACTTAGAGGCTTCAAATAAAAGTGATAGGTTGTACAGTTTATCAGAAGAGCAATTCAAGGCCCTTGGGCCTCTTGTTAGCTCTTCTGAGCCAAAGGCTCAAAGAACTAATGCTATGGCCATTTGTGCAGTGTGCGTAAACTTTTTTGAATATGAGCCATAACTCAAGAACCCCTTGGCCAATTATTGTCAAATTTGCCACAGGGTATCCTTGGCCCAAGCGCTCCCGTTTATTCTAAATCTAGGGTTGTGACCCTTAAACAAGGAGAGATAATTAGGTAAATAAAACCAAAGTACTGTTTGCTAAAAAATCTTCTTCTTAAGAACCACTGGGCAGATTATCACCAAACATGCACGAAAGGATGAGGATATATTGTAGATTAAAGGTCACAATGACCTAGTTGTGAGGTCGACCTACTCTGAAGACCCAAGATGCATCAACTAACAAAGTCTGATGATTCTAAGCCAATTAGTACCCAAAATATTAAATTATAGTCATATAAATTGAAAAGTATGTCATGGTAACCTACTTTTCAGTCGACCTACTCTCAGGTACTAATTGGCTTAGAATCATTTTGGATTCTCAGAGTATTTTATCTAAAATGTAGGTCATGATGACCCACTTTTGGAATTTCAAGGCTTTATTTAAATATACAGTATACTTAGAGGCTTCAAATAGAAGTGATACTGGTTGTACAATTTATCAGAAGAGCGGTTCAAGGCCCTCGGGCCTCTTGTTCAATGCTTAACTGATTTCTGCTTTTTCTTAGCCAAATTACTCAGGTGAGCGATGGGGCCCATGGGCCTATTGTTTCAGTGTTCTCAGATCCACCACTCATAAAAAGATGAATGCACAATTTTGAATTGCCACATCTTTCTCTATATTTGATGAGAGATAATGCTGTTGGTAGCTTGCAGTTATTTTTTATTGCAGGCTATCTAGCAATCCTAGAATTCTAAAAAGAAATTCTAATTTTTTTATGCAGCATATCACAGTTGATTCCATATGAGGCAGCTGGCAGAGTTAATTATCTGCCCAAACATTACACCCTGCACTACTTTGTTTAAACTGTATGCTCTGACAGCTTCATGCAAATCTTTCATAACGTGTTAGGCTGTCTAAAGTTTATTCTACGTTTAAAGTCACGCGCACGCATAGGTTTAGGAGAAATCCGTCTATTGAAAAAACAAACAATTCAGAATTTCATATATCCGTTCCGGTTTGGTTCTACATTTAGTGACTCAATTCTGCATCCCAAAGTGAAAGAAAATGTGCTTTGATACCGCAGTTGCCCGAGTCATGTCAGTAAGTTGGCGTCTTATAACAAGAAAACGGTGATTTAAACAGTATGGGATCATAAATGTAAGTAAAAATTAGTTGATTTTTTTTAATGTTTGTTTGTTTGTATGTTGTTTAACGTCCCTCTTGAGAATTTTTCACTCGTATGGAGATGCCACCACTTGCTGGTGGAGAGCTGCAAATTTTGTCCTATACTCGGCACTTACGGCCATTGAGCAGCGAGGGATCTTTTTCGTTCCAGCACCTACTGCGACAAGGGACCTCGGTTTTTACTGTCTCATCCGAAGGACCGGTCTCCACGTCCCACAGTGGGATTCGAACCCGCGACTCTAGAACAGACGCTCTAACCACTGCGCCATGCTGGCGACTTTTTTTAATGAGGTAATGACAAAGTCTCCTTTGTAGAGTTTTTTGTCAGTCAATAATTCACAGAATTTCAGTTCATGATTATTTGGCTCAACTATTCACTGCATTTGGAGAGAATTGCAGAGCTTTTTACTGAGAGTAGAGTGTGCCAGAAACCAAAGATTTACAATATACAGTGAAATGCATCAATTCAATTTTATTAGATAGTTTCATCTTTAGATATTTTTGAAAAAAAAAATTAAGGAACAATAAGTTGATTTCATCCTAAACATAGTATTCATGTACCTATACATGGCTAAAATTTTAAGGAAAGATAATATTAGTCATTGACATTTGAACAGGGAGAAGTTGCAAAGGATGGGGCCTTTCAAATGAAAGAGAGTAAGGAAGGGAGTTGGGGTATTCCAAGAAGTAAAGAATCCTATCATGTGGTAGAAGTCAAGGTTAAATAATTTTACAACTATGGTACAGGATATATACTTTTATATAGTGTTTGCACTTCCAAAACCAAATGCTAGCACTATGAGAAAAGAAATACAACAAAGTTCAATTTCAAGATATGTATTAAGTATTGTCATGATCATGATTTTAATTATAGATATCTATTAACTATTCCCACAGAAAGAAGCATTTTCCTACAGGATACCATGTATGTGGTGATATAAATCCAATGGACATACTACTAGGCCTAGTTACAAGTCACTCTTCTGCACATTCAGTCTACATTTATTGCTCACAAGAGGGTTCAAGCCAATATGAATTATAAGGAAAAACTCTCTGCTTGGAAAATTAGACTTAGATGTCAAATCCAATACTCTTATTAGTCAATAGTGTTTTTTGTGTACTGAATAGGTTAATTTGAATAAATTCACAATTGTTTGAAATTTTTGTTTGTTTATTTTTTTCCTCCCTCCCTTGTAGGTTTTGAATTTTAGAGGTGACGTTATACATAGAATTAACTTTGGACAGCCTTAAGGACCCTCTATACACCAGTGCAAAATGTTTTTTGGTCATGAGAAAATTATATTGAATAAAATTGTAAATATTGAGTTTATCAATTTAATTTTCAATATATGGTACGTGGCATTTACCTCCAGGAAAAATGTTCAAAGACAATCAAGTATCGATGAACAGAAATCACTATTGTTTACTTCCGTGGAGAAAATACATGCGAATAAAGTGTTCAATTAATTTATCTTGGATATTTAAAATGTTATGAATGCTTGAACTGATTACAAATTGAGTAATATACTGTAAATTTCAATTTATTGGAATTTAGATCTAAGGGCAGATCACTCTAACTGAAGAAAAATACCATAGGATCAGAACTCTTTACTGTGCAGTGTAGAGAGGGTTCTTAAGTACTATCAAACATTCTTTTGATGCATTTACCTTGAAAGGCGAATGTTTATACAGTAACATGGTGAATAAACTTTCATTTTGCTCTACATCCATAAGAATTTCATTTTAAAGTACATTTCCCTTAAGGGCAAAGTTTATTCATTCATTGGTGTTATGGAAAACAACAAAAATGTTGAAGGCAAATTGAATAAGGTGACCTAAAAACCTCTCTAAAATGTCAATTTTCAAACACCTGCAATTACATTGCATTACTGCAGTTTTGATTTGTGACATCATCATCTACCATAACCAGATGTATTTATACCCATATTTAAAGGTGCTTAGACACAGATTCGAAATTAATATTTACTCAAATTTTCTGTATAATTTCATGACTTATATGTTGCTATAGCATTTCATACAAAAATTTGATAAAAATCTTATTTTATCTGGAAGTTATTGAAACTTCGAATTTCTGGACGCGTTTGATAGACACATCCTTGCACATTCACAAATTTTAACTTTATCCTAATTACTTTAGAAAAGTAACAATTTTGTTGTTTATTAATGAAAAATATTAAAACTATAATGCAGAAATTTCAGAGTAGAAATGTAGAAAGCAAAATCCTTTCACCAGTATTGTCAGTCCGTGCTCAGTGGTGTGTGCAGAGTTTAACAATTGAACACACCTGGTGAAACGTAAACATTAACAACAACAGAGCTCGTGCCCTGTTTACAAAAACAGTTTACGTTTCACGGGTGTACTCAATTTGTTAAACTCTGTACACAACTACACAACTCTGAGCACGGGGTGACAATACTTAAGTGAGTGGGTTTTGCTTTCGCACATTTTTACTCTGAATTTTCTGGATTATAGATGTAATATTATTCATTAACACACAACAAAATTGCTACTTTTCTTAAGTATTAAGGATAAAGTTAAAAATTGTGAAAGTGCAAGGATGTGTTAATCAAATGCCTCCCAAAATTCGTAGTTTCAATAATTTCCAGATTAAATAAGATTTTTATTTTATTTTCATTTGATATGTTATAGCAACATATAAGTTGTGATATTATACAGAAAATTTGAGAAAATATAAACTTCAAATCTGTGTCTATACACCTTTAAGTCCACTCATCCTTTATGCAGTGTACCTTATTTTCATTACTCCTGAACTTCTGGGAGACAAGATACTTTAATATGATAATGATTAAAGAGTCCTCATTAAAATTTTGGTCACATGAGTCCAGAAATCCTTAGGAGGTGGATTACCTTAGAAACTCATAAAACAGGTGACTATCAAGGCCCATGGGTGTCTTGTTTAATCTTGTAGATAGCAATGGCCACTCCTTCTGTATTTATCTAGGAATATATTGTAATAGTTTATATTTATTTTTATTTTACAGCGCGTAACCGTAGAGGAGATGCAATATTCCAGGCAACTTGGTTTATAATTGTTATGGTGGCCATAGCCATTTTGATTTTAGTAATCATCATTGTGTGTTTACTGTTAAAAAGAAACAGAGGAGACAAATATAATGGTAGGTACAGTGAACAAGAGAATAAATAAATATTGTTTTTAGCTCACCTGACCAAAGGCTCCAGTGAGCTGTTCTGGTTGAAGATTATCTGGCATCTATCTGTGTATTTTATGTTTTCTGTAAACTTCTCACTTTTTGACCTGCTTCTCCAGTTTTATCTGGGCATATGTACAATTTTAGCTCACCAGAGCCGAAGGCTGAAGTAAGCTTTTCTGATCAAAAGGATGATGTGCCAAAACTATATCAGCTGTCCCTTTTTCTACAATGAATTACATGTATATTTATTTTATATATTTATTTTGATTCTTTAAACATTTAGAGTGAGTGAATAAGATGCCTTTTGAATAGTTTTAGTAGTTCCCACCCTTATAATTATGGGGGTTACTGCATTGTCTTTGATTTTTAGCTCTACTGGTCAGAAACAAGAAGAGCTTATGCAATAGTAAGGTGTCCGGCATCCGTCCTCCTGTATGTCTGACCGTCTGTCTGTAAACAATTTTTCAAAATGCTACTCCTCCTACAGTTTTGTTCTGATTTCAATATTACTTGGCACACATGTAGACTACACTAAGATATATAATTTAGTGCATTGGTTTTTAAATTTGATGAACAGTGTTGCCATGGTTACTAAAAAATAGAAATTTCTATGAAATTCCTTAAAACGCTACTCCTCCTACAGTTTTAATTTGATTTCAGTATAACTTGACACACAAGTAGACTACACTAAGATACATTATTTAGTCATACTTGTCAACTTTCCCGAATTTATCGGGAGTCTACCGATTTTGAACCCTCCCTACCGCATGTCTCCCGATATTTTTTTTAATTGCCGTTTCTACCGATTTTGAAAAAATCCGGATTTTTTACCTACTTCGGTTCGTAAAATACCGACAAGTCAACACATGCAGTGTTTATCAGTAGATAATCTGTTTATTGCCACTGATAACAGGTAATCAACAAGGTGTCAACTGTGCTACCGGATGTAATTGCAGTTGTAATTGCTCTCTATTATCATTAAAAGTGTATATTATCAAAGACAGAGATGCCAGATGTGGAAATTTTGCAAAAAGGACGGTAAATAACGATATGGATATACTTGATACTTTGCTGCAAATGAGTTTACAAGTACCTAAGACAAAACAATTCCTCCATAAACTATACAGTGATCTGGAAAGATGTGAACTACAGTACTCTATATTATTAATTAAATGAGGAAAGGGAAACAATTTCATGGTAGCTAATGAAGATTCTGCAGAGGGAACTCTGCAGATTATGAGATTCACGGGCAGTGACTTGGCAAATCCTGCATCAACATCAGCATATAAAAGCCCCTGAAACTGCAGAGCAACATGACAGTACCTTTAGAAGACTTTTTTTGAATTTACGCAGCTAAACAGGGTAATAAAGTTTCTGAATTTTAAAATATAAAATTAGCATATTAGAACATGACTACAATAATGATAGAGATTTTAAGAAAAAAAAATCATAAAGTACATTATAATGAGAGTAAAAGAAAGAATAGAGGATCTGAGAATCCATGTATTTCATTCATACTAGATTACACATGTTATTTTAAAGGATGAAAGTTTTGATTACTTCCAATTATTTCAATTTCAGATCTTTAAATCCAGGACACAGCTCTCTTGCTCCTTACTAGTGAGAAAAATCCATTCATCCATCATTTAAAAGCTGGAAACTCAGACTGTCTGCAGAACCTTATTAATTTTTCTAACTGCCAAGTTAAACTATGATATTTGCCATGAATATTATTCAAATTACACTCTTATGGGCATGAATACTATACAGTGAAGAACATAATTTTTTTTTATAATTTCAAAAAATTACATTTGGAACTCATAAACAATGTATGAATAGAAAGTTGTAAATTTTATAAATAAATAATATTTAAAAAATGTTTTTAATTGTCTGTTGTTTATTTTTGTTTTATAATACAGTGAAATGTGCGATTTTTCATTTACTAAAGGTCGTCACGCATTTTCTCCCCCAAAAAATTTTGGCCATGTTTAGTGCATTGGTTTTTAATTTTGATGAAAGGTGTTGCCATGGTTACTAAAAATAGAAATTTGGATGAAATTCTTTTAAAATGCTACTCCTCCTACAGTTTTGGTCTCATTTCAATATAACTTGGCACACAAGTAGACTACACTAGGATACATAACTTAGTGCATCAATTGTTGTCATGGTTACTAAAAATAGAAATTTCTCTGAAATTCCTTTAAAACGCTACTCCTACTATAGTTTTAGTCTGATTTCAAAAGTACTCAACACACCAGTAGACTACACTGAGATACATAATTCTGTTTATTGGTTTTTAGCTCACCTGAGCCAAAGGCTCAAGTGAGCTTTTCTGATCAAAATTTGTCCGTTGTCTGTCGTCGTTTGCGGCGGCGTAGATGTCATCCTTGTTGTCGTAAACTTTTCACATTTTCATCTTCTTCTCCAGAACTACTGGGCCAATATCAATCAAACTTGGCACAAAGTATCCTTGGATGAAGGGAATTCAAGTTTGTTCAAATGAAGGGCCACGCCCTCCTCCAAGAGGAGATAATTACGAAATAGCAAAAAATTAATGGCATTATTGAAAAATCTTCTCAAGAACCAATGGGCCAGAAAAGATGAAACTCATGTGGAATTATTGTCAGGTAGTGTAGATTCAAGTTTGTTCAAATCATGACCCCCGGGGGTAGGTAGGGGCCACAATGGACAATCAAAGTTTTACATATGAATATATAGGAAAAATTTTCAAAAATCTTCTTTTCAAAAACATCAAATCAATGATTGGTAATATTTATTTGGAAGCATCCTCAGGTGGTAGTAGATTCAAGTTTGTTCAAATCATGACCCCCGGGGTAGGGTGGGGCCAGAATGAACGATCAAAGTTTTACATAGGAATATATAGTAGAAATCTTTAAAAATCTTCTCAAGAACAGCAAAGCCATGGTTTGTCATATTTATATGGAAGCATCCTCATATAGTGTAGATTCAAGTTTGTTCAAATCATGACCTCCAGGGGTAGGGTGGGGCCACAATGAAAGTTCAAACTTGTAGAGAAAAAAGTCGCAGTCAGTCAAAAAATTATGGAAGCATCCTTAGTTAGTGTAGATTTAATTTTGTTCAAATCATAACAACCCTCCCCCCCCCACTCCCTTTTAGGGGTAGGTTGGGACCACTTATGCATTTAAGCTTTACAATACTAAACTGATTTGTTCCTTTTTTCCTAGCCACAGTGCTCAGGTGAGCGATTTGGCCCCTGGGCCTCTTATTGATTTTGGTAAAGTGTTGCCATGGTTACTAAAAATACAAATTTCTGTGAAATACATTCAAAATGCTGCTCTTTCTATAGTTTTGCTTTAATTTCAATGTAACTTGGCATGCAAATAGACTACACTGAGATACATAATTGTCTTTATCAGTTTTTTTTTTATTTTGATGAATGATGTTGCCATGCTTACTTAAATCAAAATTTCTGTTAAAATCTTTCAAAAGGTTATTCTTCCTACAGTTTAGTCTGATTGCAATAAATATTGCCACAAAAAGAGACTAAACCAAGGATCATTACTCTATTTATTGCTGTTGCAAAGTTTCAAGTCCAAGTGCTACTTTTAATTTCCTTTGTTATAAGTACAAACCAGTAGAGCTACAGTCTCGTCAGACACTTCTGGTTTTTAGACCCTATGGCAGCAAAAATCATCATGGTTTGTGACAATTAGTTGTTTATGAATAAAAATGAAAATAATGTGGAGCCTTAGTGCAATAGAGGAATATACCTGTCAAGACATTGAATAGATTTGGCTTGAGACCCATTTACATAATTCATGACAACATTTTCCAGTCGAGAATCAAAGTATACCAAATATACTTAAGGGAGTTGAACACTTAAACAAAACAGTTATGTAGCTAAGTAGATAATAATTATTTTATTAAAATATACTTTTTGTTTAGTTTTATTTTTTTAAATTGTTTGAATGAGTTTGTGTGTCAGTGAAGGGGGGATTAAAGGTTAGTGTGTTTTTAGTTCTACTGGTCAGAGACCAAAGGAGCTTATGTGATAGAAAGGTGTCTGTCATCCGTCCATCTGTCTCTCTGTCCGTCTGTCTGTAAACAATTTTTCAAATGCTCCTCTTCCTACAGTTTTGGTCCGATTCAATGTAACTTTGCTCACAGGTACACTTCACTTTGATACATGATTCTGTAAATGGGTTTTTGATTTCAATGAACGGTGTTGCCATGGTTACTAAAAATAGAAATTTTTGTAAAATACTTTCAAAACACTACTCCTCCTACAGTTTTGATCTGATTTCAGTTTAACTCAGGACACTAGTAGACTACACTAAGATACATAATTTTATATATCAGTTTTTGATTTCAATGAATGGTGTTGCCATGGTTACTAAAAATAGAAGTTTTTGTGAAGTACTTTCAAAACACTACTTCTCATTCAGTTTGGTCTGATTTTGATATAACTTGGCATGCAAGTAGACTACAATGAGATATATAATTGTTTTTATCGGTTTTTGATTTTGATGAAAGGTGTTTCCATGGTTACTAAAAATAGAAGAATGAGTGCACTTTGGAGTGTCATTTGGAACCTTTTCGACCACCATTTTAATCCTTGAATTAGACTATATTGCTAAATTAATCTTTGATTTTTGTGCATACATATGCGTTTGATATTTATACTTTAAATTTTTTGTTAAACATATTTCTATAATTCCACACAGTGTCATTGAAAATAACATGTATAAGCCTTAAATTCCGGAAATTTGAACTGGACTACTTTCGAATTTAAGGTACCCACAAATAAGCAGAGATATTTAAATCGCATGGAAGTGGAATGTAAACATTTGCACATTATTTCAAGATTGATTCCACAGTATGAATTTACATGGAGGAGAGAGAGGTTGTGTAGTTTCATGATTCACACAAATAATAAATGATTCATGGCCATACATATTGACCATTTTCATGATTCGTATCCA